AGAGAGAGAGAGAGAGAGAGAGAGAGAGAGAGAGAGAGAGAGAGAGAGAGAGAGAGGTGATGCTGCACGCAGAGCGGCCGCACCGCACACAAGGCGCTGCACTGTATAGCGGGGCACTGTATCGCTTGTATCAGCCCCAACTACTTTGCAAAGTAAGGTTTGTTGGTGCGGAGCATGCGACGACGCCGTGCCGTTGGTCGGCCCTCTCTACTACCATGTGACTCGGGTCGGCCTGCTCTGCCCGAAACTTTTACTGCACAGCTGTTGCTGCACGCCGCGCACGTAACGCATCACGTAACGCATCACGTGCGCGTGCGTGCGTTACGCACACGCCTCCTTCCTCCCTTCTCCTCTTTTCATATATCTACACTTCTTTTTTCGTTTACTCCCGTTTCTTTCGCCCGGCATGGTAACGCAAGCGGCGGCACACTCATTCACTTACGCACGCACACCTCCTTCTCTCTCCGTTTCTCTCTCTCCGTCTCTCTCCCTCTCTCTATCTGGCTCTGCCCGCAAACGAGGTACAGAGAAAGGGCTTCTGCTTATGAAGCAGCAATCGGTCGATTCCTGGTGGGCGCCCCGCGCCCCGCCAACCGGCTGTTCGTCGGCCGCGTCCCCGAACCCTTCAGTTTCTTTTCTCTTTGCGCCGGTTTGTTTCCCTTTTTATCCCCCGTCCCTTCACTGTCTCTCTCTTTCTTTCTCCCTCTTTTTTTCCCTTCATCCCCGCGCGACAGAATCCGGCTGCTGGTTTGGAAGGAGGGTGCCGAAAGCCATGTGGAGGCGGCAGCAGAGCAGTAGCAGCAGTGCAGAGAGGATTCCTAACCGCAGGAAGAACAGACAGGGGGGGGGGGGAGGACAAGTGGTGGCAGGATAGCGACGGCGGAAGGGAAAAGAAAAATGCAGCTCAAATACTACACAATCCAACTTTTCGGCGAAGATTCTCTCGCCATTTCGCCCCGCCTCTCCCCGACTCTGCTGCGCCCGGGCAGAAATAGAGCTCCCCGATATATACAAGCTCGCGCTCGGAAGCATCTGAGCAATATTCATAGAGGAATCTTGTCCTCGCGCCCGCACCTCGCCGCTGTCACGCCAAGAGGGACTTATTCTGGCAGCATCCAGGAGGAGCGCCTATGATGCAAGGCAGCAAAGGCAGCAAGGCAAAGCAGGCGGTGCGCGAGAGAGGAGCGCGTCGTGATGAAGCATCCTGAAAGACGCGCGCCCCCCTTTTGTTGTTGGTGGCACACTACTATACAGTCGGCTCTCTTATTTATCGCTCGATCCATAGCGGCGGCGGCGCGACCTCGTTCCGCGGCGCGCAGCTCTCCCGATCAGAGAAAATGAAAGGGAGAAAGAGAGAAGACACAGAAAATAAAAAAGAAAGGTGGGGAAGGCGCCGCAGCAGCTACACCACCGCCGCCAGCTATTAGCATGTTTACCAATAAGGTACAGCAGGTCATCACCAGCGAGCAGAGAAAGAGAAAGAAGGAAGAGGAAGGTGGGAGGGGGGAGTAGAGAAAAGGGAGAGAGATTGTGATTTGCCAGCAATATTTTCGCGCGCGCGCGATGAGGCACCGCCGGCGGCGGCTGCCCTGAACGGGAGACAGGGAAGTCTTTCTATGCCGTTTTCAATGGAGACCCCCCCCTGCCTGGTCCTGCACAATGCAAAGCGAGCGCACGGCAGGAGAGGGGAGGGGGGGGGGAGAGACAGGAAGTCATCAGCACCTGGTCAGGGATGCGCGAGAACCAGCTGCTTGTGTTCGTCACACCTGCTGCTACGGCCATATCCACCAAACGGCGGGATGAAATAACATTCTCTACAGCGCTCCACATACTTCTTTTGTATCTTTCCTAAACAGAATACTTCGTGTAATGATACACTTTTGACGACACGGTCGCCTCGTGTGCCACACAACCACCACCACCAACCACCTCCACCGCGATGCCCTCTGAACTGAACTCATCAGAGGGGTGCGAGGGTTATGGGAGCCCATTCCGTCTCACGCTGATACGGTATCGCTTCGCGGGGTGAAATAGGGGGCGCGTTGAGGGGGTCAGAGGGGTGCAGTGGGGCGCAATCACCCCGCACTGGTGTCACTCACATTTTTGTTCGCCACCGCCGCCGTGCCTCGCCACGGGAGGGACCCGCCCAGGCAGGCCGGCAGCTCTGTTTGCGGGCACCCCCTCGTGCAAATCACACCCACGCGCCACCCACCATGGAGCGCAAAAAAAGCGGAAACAGAAATAATTAAACCAATATTGCCCGGTCATCACAACAATAAATCGCAAAAAGAAAAAATACACGCAAAAAAAACTGTGCTGCCTTTTATACTTTTTTGTAGTGGGGGAAAAAATGTTTCATTTCCCGAGGAGGTGAATTTTGAAAACAAAGACATGTGAGTGGGAACACGGGGGAGGGACACCAGGCAGCATTTCATTTCTCTTTTTTTCGTGGCCGGCTTTGTGTGCGCTCCTTGGGGCCGCGTCCCAAAGGGAGAGCAGGGCCGGGCCAGAGGGCGCCGACCGCCGGGGCGCAGCAAGCAGGACAGAGGCTCGCAACCGCAACACCAACAGAAATAATTTCACAAAAAGCAAAAAAACACCATGCCATCACTTTTCTTTCTTCCGACGTCTCATGCACCAAAATATAACATTTTAGCACCACACCAAGGTCCCTTGAATTATCATCACTCCGAAATGATCTGCCTCTGCTACAAGCGTAATCGTATTTTATTTTGGGGCCAAAGATAGGCAAGTTTTTCATCTCATAGAAAGTAATAATAGGCATCGGACCACATTTCCGTAAATTACAACGTAAAGTGTATCTTCACTGTGTCGCGGTAGCCTCACCAGCCCCTTGCTGGCTCGAGCACAGCGAAGCACCGCGAAGCCACACAAGCTGCACCCGCAGGCACGCTCTGCTGTTGCTGCACCCTTAGAGACCACCTTGTTCGCACGGCACCAGCAGCAACGAAGAAAGAGAAATACAAAATAAAAAAAACAAAAGAAAAACACAAATATACAGGAATTTTGGCCCTGTCGTGTACACACTAATTTATTTGTATGTTTGTTGTAAATGTTCGTGCTAAGTTAAACCGACGTTCCGTTTCGGACAACTTTGTACGCTAAAATGCAAATGCATGATTTCGTACAACTGAATGCAAGAGTGTGTTCAAATCAACGCAAAAATGTGTGCGAACACCAATTTGATTGGTTAAATTCGTATACAAAATAAATGATACAAAAATCCAGTTTGGTGAGTAAACCACAAGCAGCACCGACTTGAGCTGGTCAGCCGTACATCGTTTGCAAGTTCGCTACTACGCCCCCTCACTCCTCGACTCGAATAGATTATTGGTTCCCCGCGTTCCATCTCACCTCATTGGACCGGCGGCATTGGTCCGCCCTCCCGACCCGACCGACCGACCGCCAACGGCCCCCAAGGAGTACTCGGGGTCTTTCGGCCGCCGCACGATTGCTAATCTAGGAGAGAAAGGGGCGCGGGGGTGAGGGTGGGGGGGGGAGACTGGACCTGAGGGCTGAGGGCAGAAGGGCCTAAGTGTATACCGAGGGGGTCTGGAGTGTCATCAGTCACGGCCGTCAACACCCGCCGCGGCGGGCTCAGCAGGGCCCCTCTCTCTGTCTCTCTCTCTCTCTCTCTCTCCCCGCCGTCCCCCCCAACTCGCGCTGGTTTGACCTTATCTTCGCCATGCGGCGACAAAACAGACCTACTATAGAGGGAGGGGGGAGAGTTAATGGAAGGGCCGCGAGCCCCGCCGCCGCTGCAGGGGAGGGGACGGGGGCGTTGTTTGAAAGGGAGAGAAAGTAGGACAACGAGAGCCCCGAGCTCGACTACCACTACCGTGATGCAGGTAGAGTGGCGAGGCGGAGCGGGGGCGGGCCGAGCGGGGGCGGAGCGGGGGCCGAGCGCACCACCGCACACTCCATCCGCAAGCAAACACACACTGCAGGCAGGGAAAACAGTCTTCTTCTATAGTCCACCGGACACAATTGAATTATTGCCACTTTGACACCACTCCGCCCGTTTTTCGCTCAGTACAAATTCGTCATGTCATTATTTTCAGTAGCAGCAAAAAAGGACGCAATCGGACGCAATGTATAGGAAAAGTTGTACTTTCCTCGACCCGTGTTTGCCCTCAAACTGTTTTTCGGTTGCCGCTGAGAAATATAACTTCGTAAATTTACAACATGCTTTGTATTTCGATTTACAGACTGTTGAAAATTTACGACACTTCATTCTTCTCGTCAATCAATACCAAGTCGACGCAGTGGTTGTAATTTTACAATTTCAAATTGCAACTTTACAAAACACGCCATGGGAAATTATTTCCCTGTCACCCTCACAAGAATTTCTCCAGTCTGCAGTTAAGTGATTTTGCACGTGCTTTTCTGTTTGCAGGCGGCGGCGCCGGTGCCGGGGTGCCGGCCAGGGTCGCGGAGTCGGCATGGGCTTGGCGGGCCTCGCGGGCTGCCGCGCTGGTCCGGGCTGGTCAGGGCCAAGGGCGGCGCCCCCGACGGCGGCCCGCGGCGGCAGTGGCGGCAGCGGCCACAGCGTAGAGCGGCCATAGGGCATGCCGCGCTATGCAGCTGCTGGCCCTCAACGCCCTCCTCATGTTCGACGTCGTCTTCGTCTTCTTCCTCTTCCTGGTGGGCGTCTCCTGCCTGGCCTACTACCTGCCCGCCACCTCCCGCCGCGCCACGCCCCGCCACGACCCCGAGCCCGCCTACCCGCCCTCTCCGCGCCACTACGTCACGGACCCGCGCGCGCGCCCCGCGCAGTCCCCCGTGGACCAGGTGTGAGGACGCCGTCGTCCGGGACCACGTGCGCAACGACGTCGTCCGGGACGGCGCCATGGACGACGCCCAGCTCAACGACCGACTCTTCCTGCCGGCGGCGGCGTCGCTCGTGGCGCCGTAAACAGGCCCTGCAGATCGAGACGACCTAGTGATAGTGCGGCAACAAGGGACGGACGGGCGCGTGTGTGTGAGTGTGTGTGTGAGCGTTTTTGTGTATGTATGTGTGTGTGCAACCTTGTGTCCGCGATGCCGCTGCTGCTGCTGCCGCCGCTGCTCCCACAGCAGAACTCGGTGCGCGGACGCTGCTACACGGTGAGTACTGGTCCAAGCTCGGGCCGGCTCGGTATCCGTTAACCCATCGGTACTACTGCAGTATCGGGCCCCGATGCCAATGTCGGTAGCGCCCACCCGAACCCCCAACCACCCCCTTTCAAACTCTCTCCCTCCACACAACCACCACCACATCGGCACAGCAGCAGAGAGAAACGACGACGACGACGCAAATCCGAAAATGATGATTGCTCACTGCGCTTGGGAGAGCCGGGACTGAGAGCGGCGGGCTCTGCGGAGCTGCGCACTACTACTACTACCACCGGCGAGAGAGATAAAGAAGGACTACACAGATACCACGAGAGTGGAGCCGGCCGCCGGGCGAGGGGCGGGGGCGGCGGTGCGGCTGGGGGAGCGGGAAGGGTCTGGTTATTGCTGTTTGCAGAGAGGGAACACCAATCGGTAGCTCATAAAGATAGACTGTTGCCGTTCGCTCAGGCGCATGGGCCTTCGGCCCGGCAGCCCTGCGGCTCCCCGGCGGCGGTGGGGGCTCCACCCGGTATCGAACATCCCCACCTTCCCCACACCCCACCCCTGCCCGGTAGCCACCTTATTTCTCCTGACCGCCGCCGCCCCCGCCCGCGCCCCAGCGCCCATACCACAGCCGGCGCGGCCGGCGGCAACACTACAGGGGTCACGGGGTCACTGTCAGTGGCTGCCCCTGCTGGCGGGCCCCTCCGGCCGCTCATCGGCCCTTCCGCTCGCCACACGCCCGCGCGCTAATCGCCAGTGTCACCACTTTGGCCCGTTAACTACTCTATCGAGAGCAATTAGGGCTGCTTTTCGGCCCGCGTGGACCATTACTGAACAGGCCCGCCAAGAGGGAGGGGGAAGGGGGGGGGGAGAAAAGCGAAAGTACGATCTCCCACCCCTCCCCGTACGCGACTCTTCTCATGAACGTCCGCCCCGGGATTTTGACAAATTTCGGAGGGCGTGTCGCTTTTGGCGCGGCGCGCGCGACGCTCGGGACAAATTTGATTAGTCGTCGTGTGTCGCGCGCGACGTCGCGGTGCTCGCGCGCCGCCGCCGCCCCCGGGGGATGGCGGGAGGAGAGGGGGTGGGAGGCGGACAGGACGTCGGCGGCGGCACCCTCCGCTCCGGACCTGTGGCGCGCTCAATTTTTCAAACTATACGCGCGCGCACGTCGTGCTCGGGGCGGGCGAGCGAGGCCACGGGGTAGGGTGCAGGGAGGGGAGGGGAGGGGTAAGTAATGTGGGCGGTAACCGACTCACACGGTGGCAACAAACACCCACACGGGACGGGCCTCGGGGAGGGGGAGATTGAGG